AGATTTCACTGGTTTAATTTGTTTTGGCTTGGTCTGGTGTGGTCTGGGCAGGGCTACTTCTAGCAGAAAGGACATACCGCCTGGCTCTCTGCTTTACTGTGATATTAGTAACCACTGATGGTGCAGCTAGGTCCATTAATTCAGTAGAGGTTTAATTATGATGTTTTAATTCGATAACTCTTTCATTAATTAACCAGTGTCTTAGTCTATTTGTCTGTAACCAGATACCACAGATCAGGTAATTTACGAAGAACAGAAATGTATTTCTCACAGTTATGGAGACTGGGAAATCCAAGGCTAAGACACTGGCCTCGGGGGAAGGTTGCTGTCTGCTTCCAAGACGGTTCCTTGAACCTGCTGCGTCCTCTGGAGGGTGGAACCCTATGGACTTCCGTGGCAAAACTGGAAGAGCAAAAAGGTCAAACTCTTTTTGACAGATTAAACACCTCCCTAAAGGCCACCTCCCAACACTGTTGCCTTGGGAGCTAGTTTCCAACATATGAGTTTTGGGAGGTGCATCCAGACCCCACAGCCAGAATAATTCTATAAAGAAACTCTTCTTCCATCTGCTTTTTGGTTACTCACTGGTATCATTTATATAAAAGAAATAGGGTAAATGGATTATTCTTCTCACTTAAATACCTGATTCAAATCAGTGAATGAGTTTGCTAGCATCCTTCAACTGTGACCAATTAAGTTTGTTCTTTTTTTTGGTAACATTGTGAACTCATGGCCTTAGGCATATTTGATTTGTTTCAATAATTCACTGTAGATACCTATTTTTTTTTTTTTTTTTTTTAGACAGAGTCTCACTGTGTTGCCCCAAGCTAGAGTGCCGTGGTGTCAGCCTAGCTCACAGCAACCTCAAACTCCTGGGCTCAAGCAATCCTTCTGCCTCAGCCTCCTGAGTAGCTGGGACAACAGGCATATGCCACCATGCCCGGCTAAATTTTTCTATATATTTTTAGTTGGCCAATTAATTTCTTTCTATTTTTAGTAGATACAGGGTCTCGCTCTTACTCAGGCTGGTTTCGAACTCCTCACTTTGAGCAGTCCGCCCACCTTGGCCTCCCTGAGTACTAGGATTACAGGTGTGAGCTACCAAGCCTGGCCAGATACTATTCTTTTTAATATTCAAATTGTCCTATCTTTGGCCAGTAAGAGCATCTTCAGATTAGCTCCCGATTCCTCTTGGTAAAACGTGGTGGTGTTCAATAGTTTTACTGCTCTCTGGTCTGTCACGTGTTCCAGGTTGTCATGCACATTGCCTTCATTAGACCTGCTGTCAGCTACTTCCT